TGGAGAAAGAGTACCTGATGATCTTACTATTTACAACAATCCTGTCAAAGAAGTGGAAATGTTTTATAATGCTGTCCGGGTTTGTTTTTGGTTCATGTTGCACTTGAAATGCCATAATACCTGTGAGGAGAGTTTCTGCACTTTCCTGGAGTAACTGAGAAGAGTCTTTCTTCCCTGGAAAAACTTTGTCCATATTTTTCAACCTATCACATGACAAAAAACAAATTAAAGAAAGCAAGTCAATATCCATTTCGGGCACTATCATTCACAAAAGAAAACGAGAAAACATGGATTCTTGCTGCCCATCTGAAAATTTTCCATGGAGTTGCTAATTAGGAAAGAAAATGCAGATTAAAATGTACTAAGAATTCGCACTGGAGCTCATTTCCATTGTGCTGCTGGCAGGGCCTCCCTCGCTGGTGCTGATTCTCTCGATGTATCAAAAAAAAAAAAAAAGCCATACAGAGGTTTGGCGGTCAGTAGCCTAATAGCCTTGGAACTGCAGAGTTTTTCGATTCTCGTTTCTCCAGTGAAACAACATCCAAGGGCATATGGTTGTTCCAGAATCCCATTTCATGGCAACAACAAAATCTCTTTGGTAATGTTTTGGCATGTCAGAGCTAAAAATTCTCCGGTTATAATCGCTTACTGAAGTTGGTCCACAAAATACCGAAATGTTTCCAGCTATATTGAGCTTCCAGTCATTAACATCTTGCTGATCCATTGGAAACCTGATTCAGTCGGTGCAAACAATCATTATAGTCTTGCATTGGGTAGGGGTGTCCACGGTTCGGTTAACCGAACCACCGCACATTTTTTTTAAAATCGAACCGGTGGTACCGGTTTTTCCAGTTCTCTAAACCGAAACCGAACCGGTATTACTGGTTAACCGGTCCACCGGTTTTGGTTTTTCATTAGTTTGGTTCTTCGGTTTTTCAGTTTTTTATATTAATAATATATATTATACAAATATATATATATAATATATATTATAAATAATAAATGATATATAATATATTACAAATATTTCAAAAATATAATATATTTATAAATAGATCATTATAAATATAATATAAGTATATATTTATATATGTAATGAATATATATTTATATATAATACATAAAAAATATGTGACATATATTAAAAATATATATAAAATATACATATATATATATATGTATATATATATACATATATATATATGTATATATATATACATATATATATATATATCGGTCGGTTTGGTTAACTGCATTTTGCGATTTAGTCGGTTTTTTGGTTTTTTGGTTTTTCATGGACACCCATAGCATTGGGAATATCTCCCCAGCACAGAAGTATGGAGATGATCCGTATGCAAGACTGAAAGTTGTTCGAACTTCGGTGTTCAAACAAGCCTTTGCATTGGCTGAAGCCGATTTCGATCCATTAGCCCATCATTTTATAGGATTGGAACGTATACAAAATTCAATTACACATTGGGTGTGATAACCCAACCTTCTAACCAATGTTTTAATAACCGACCCAGAGGCTCAATCGTTTTTGCCTCCGGGTCACAGGTCACCAGTTCAATTGGCTGGGTTGAACGATTTGAACCATGCCACATCAGCGCATATTATATATATATATATATATATATATATATATATATATATATATATNTGTGTGTGTATAAATATATATATTAGCAATAAATAATGTGTATATATATATATATATATATATATATATATTTTAGATATGCTATATGTATTATTTCATATTTAATTGATGTTTTAATTTTTTATTTATAAAAATATTAAAAATTACAATTTGAAGTCAAAAAAAGGGTTTTTTTTGTGAAAATAGCGGGGCAAGGCGCCTATAGCTCCTTGGGACGCATAGATCTTGAAAAGTTAAAAAAAAAAAACACCCTAATCAGACAACGGAGTGCAAAGTTATGGCCTCCGAAAGTGTTGTATGCATTGAGTGTGCAACCCACCACACGGTCACCAAGTCAAACGGGTCAACAGTCGAACTGACCAGGTTGAATGGTTCTTGACCAAGTCAACGATTTTAACTGTCTGATGGGCCTTGAGTGAATCAGACCCAAAGTCCTGACCGAATAACGATTCAATTGGTCGAATCAACGGCGGGTTGAAAACATTGCTTCTAACCCATGACGACATCACTTAAGGTTGCAGTTTAGGCCATATAGACCGTTGGAACAAGCAGAGGGTCAAAAAGGCAGCAGCCGCAGCACATGAATAATGTTATATGTACTCTTCTGCACTCTGCAGTAGAGAAAAAATGTAATATGTACTCTAAAAGTGGCAGTTTTTCTGTGCAAAATATGCCACTGCAATAAGAATTCTTCTAATTCTGCTATTACAATAGACAGGAGATCTTCTTATTAGAGCTTTAATATCACAATTCATGCTACCTCCTTGAGGGAGAACCAGAGAATTAAAAAAAAAAAAAATGCAACTAAAGATTATGCAGATAAATCCCAGTGGGCAGTGAGTATGAATTCAGTTCTCACAGCCTTTTTGCACCTGTGCATTGGAAACATCTCCGTATTTGTACATAGGGGTGGCAACGAACTGAATTTTTCATGAACTGCTTGAGCTCGGTTCGGCTCAGTTTCAACCAAACTCGAGCTCAAGCCCAATTTAGTGGCTCGATTATTAAACCAACTCGAACTCGAGCCCAATTCAGTAGCTCGATTATTAAACAAGTCAAACCAAGCATCAATCATATTCAAGGACCTCAAATAGAGATGCCAATGGGTTAGATTTGGCATGAGTTTGCCTCAACCCTAACCTGACCCAAGTACCCAACCCAGCTTAAAAATGTGACCTAAAATACATTAATTTAAGTTAGAAAATTGTTTTTTATTAAAAAAAATGAGGTTGGAAATGTAACCAGCATTGTATTTAAAGCTTGCAATTTTTCTTCAGGCTGACATTCAACTTGATTACTTATCTGTCAGTGGCATGGAAGGAACGAAATTGAAATATGCAATATCTTAATTATTGCCTAAGAGTATATATTTATACCTGTCATGAGTTTCAGATGAAGAAAGGGAAAGGTACAGGAACATGAGCACAATTGGCAAAAACTTGTAAACAACAAGAAAGGATGGTGAAGAATGGAAATGCTTAAAATAGTGCAATTGTTCCATCTCTTTTTGGGCAGGAATGTACCATCACAGAACAAGATTACTGAGTAAAGGAAACAGACTTGGTAACTATGGATATATGAAAAAAGACGCATCCTTTTACAGCTGGAAGTGGAACTAGGCTAACCATTTGGAGCTTGCCAATAAAATCCTGCAAATTTGTTTAACCCTTTTCTTTGTTCTGTGGGAGACAGGGACTACTTCAGAAAAACTTGGATCAAAAAGGGATTCTTCGACCAAGTGGTAAGGAGGAAATACAATTAACTGCCACTTCACAGAAGCAGAAAACCAAAATCCCACCACCAGATCCATCACCCACTTTACAGATGGCTTCCAATTCCCCAAGCACATTAGACTTCAGGCCTGTAAAAGAAAATTTCATTTCATTTCTTGATTATTTATACCAATTGATCTTTTAATGCCAATAATCTGTTGCATTTTTAGTTTTCCTTTTACCATATTTTGATTCTAAGCAAAACAGGATAAAACAATATCAGAGGGAGACTGTTATTCTTCTTTGGTAACATTAGGTTCATGCATTCACAATTCTGTGAAACTCCCTCAAACTGCTGGATTGGTTTCAGAGGAGACTTGATGTCAAGACTAGGGTATGTGTTAGGCAGATTCCAATCTGACAAGAGAATTAGTGGCCTTGTTTTATTGATAGTTTGATACGTGTTCTTCTCCAACGCGTTATGGATCCATAGGGAAAAACTTTGGGTTGTTTGGGAAAACTTTTTATTGATACTTGTCATTCACAGGAAGCTCTCAAACAGCTCAGTGCCTCAGATTGTTTTCTCAGTTTTTCATTGCCTTGTAAGCCTCCAGTTTAATTTCATGATCTTTGCATATTCTCTCTCTTTTACAAACAACAATATGAACACAAAATTTGTAGAGATCTCAATTTGTACTCTGAAATTTCCATAGTTTTTAATTATTCAGATACGTCAATAATCTTTGCAGAGAATGAGAAACGAAGATTTTGCAAAGTCATCCACCTCAAATTCTACAATCGCCTGTCAGGCTTGGCCTCATGAACCCTAATTCACCCTCCCTCCGCAACCCAAGCACCCCCTAAGCTTTCTTCAAAAATCCCTCAACACCACACTCTTCACCTCCATCAACAGCAGCAGCAGCAACCACAGTAGGCTCCATCATTGATTACCACGATGTCATCGATACTACTCTCTCCCCTGAGCACAACCCCTCCTTCAAATGGCCTCCCTCATCACCCTACTATTCAAAGTCTCACCTAATTGATCCTTCTGGTTCTCATTCTGCGGCTCCCTCCTAACCAACCTTGTTTCCCAAGCACCCCTCGGTTCCTCTCCTTCCTCCATTAAAGAAATCCTCTCCCTTTTCACTTCCCTCCAGACTCAACTCTTCAAAGCTGTCGCTGAACTCTAAACAATCCTCGATCTTCAGGATGACAAACAGAAAATTTCCCATGAATTTCACAAATGCAAGAAAATAGGCATCTCACAACGAGTGCTGTTGATAACTTCTATCAAGCTCTAGCTAACTTTCCATATTGAAGGACTATTCCTTGACATGGATTCTCAGCTCTGGAGTCTAACCCAGAAGAATACATGTCCCGATCAAGAACCCCATCTTTCTGAAAATCTATATGCTGGGTGTTGGCCTCCAATATCCATGACGGAAGGGGATTCTTCAAATGCTATAGATCTGATTCATGTTATAAACAGACTGAATTTGGATAGCCTTGATGGAATTCAGACAAATGGATAGTGCTTGCACCAAGGACTGTACATCTTTGTAAACTCGTACCGTGAATGCTATTCACCCATCACCCATAAAGAAAAAGCAAGGAAACTATAAATATATAAGCCACAAAAAGCATCAAAAAGGTCCTTTAGGTTAGAGATCAAAATCAGTAAATTATTAGGCAAACATAATTCATTAAGCCACTGGCATCTATGTCCTTATTCTTGGGCTACAAGCTAAGAAATTCTTTCATTAAGTGATCCTTTATAATCACACCCTGGCCACAGCAATACCGTTGGAGTGAAGACTTGAGCTGCCAAGACAAACAACTGTGTGAGACCCATGAGACCCCGTGAATCATCTGCCTTGGTAGATAATGCAGAATAAAGTTAGGCATGTAACCATTACAGAATTTTGAAAAATTGGTATCCCACAGCCTATAAATGATATTCTAGTAAGAAGAACAGGAAAATGTTTCAAGAGAACCTCCGCATCACAAGTTGTCGCAGTTCAACATGGGTGAAGATCATTATCCTGGTTTGTAGCAGCACCTCCTGATGCACGTCCTACCATTTTCATATTCACATCATATGATGACAGAATTTTCTTCTGTACCAACAAGAAGAACCAACTAATAAGCAATACTGAAGTACCACGTTCAGGCTTCTAACCATGTAAACAGAGATGACTATGGATTGAACCTGATTTCTGGATTTTGTTTTTTCTTCTTTTTTTCTTGGCGATATTAGACACATTTTTTACTCAAGTTTTATCAAGAAAGAATTTTAAAAAATAAAAATACATGATAGAACATTTTATACAGTGCAACAAAAAAGAGTGAGAGTTTATGTTTTATCTTACTCTCATGAATTTTACAGTTCCTCGTAAGAAAAATGGTCGAATCTAAAAATCTCATATGATTAACATGCAAGCAAAGAATGAAGTTCTATTTCTGGGGGTTATGATTAGGATGTTGATAGTGTTTGGTCTAGTTCTGTACCATATGAAAGATTTTCACTGATAGAATTTAAAAACAAGACCCCTCCCCCATTTGTAAATCCTTTAAGCTCGGAAACTATGTACCATATGAAGCATTTTCACTGTCAGAAACTGTGCCAGTCCTTTAAACTCCGTAAAAAGCAGCTTATTGTACATGAGCCAATATTTTGAGACTCAGACCGGAGCAGATATTTGGGCCATTTCAAACTGTCACCTATGCCTCTTACTGAATTGAATGATTTATGAACTATTATCCCCTTGCACAAAACTATTCAGAGAACAAAAAAAAACATCTGATTAGAACAGCCATGGATCAGTTTGAGAACATGGTTAAGTGTAGTAGTGCAAATTATGTGCACAAAGAATGAAAATGTAACAATAGTATGTTATTTATCCCAGTTTCTCTTCTTGAATGCACATCTAAATCATTTTCTAGCTTTTTAAAATCTTAATTGCAAGTTTTAACAATGATTCCCCCCAGTAAGTTTACTAATGTATGACGTGAAATGCAGATTTGTTCAACCAAACTGCTGAGATGACTGATTCAGCCAATACCAAAAGATTTCGAAATTGAATTACTAAGTAAACTTGTCATAGAGGATAGAAGAAACTTGTAGACATGCATTATCAGAACAAAATACTTACAATTGGCTCAAAATCAGGACTAGATAAATTGACTGTAAGGTTCCTCATTAACAATAGGACCTGCAAAAGGTTATTTATGAGAAAACCAAAAGAAACCATGCAATGCTCTAATGGATAATGATTTCATATTGATCAAATGAGAATGCACATGTTGAAAAATGCAATAAAGCAATAACCATGCATTAATAAGTCTGCAACCGAGTCATGTTTTTAAATAGGTACTTAGTTAGCTTTGTATTAAAATGGAGGGAGAGCTATAAAAAAGAAATCATTACATCTGGCAAGGAAACATACTATACCCCTCTAATTACTGTGTGATATATTTATATCAAAATTTACTTGTATTACAAAAGCCTCCCTTATAATCCACTGCCGTTGATTACAAAAATAAAGATAAAAGAAGTCTTCAAATTCCTTATGGGTGGTGTTCATCCAAAAGATGAGAAGCTTTTCCATCTTCCCAAATACTGCTTTCTTGGAAATACTTCAATTGAAAGATCTGTTGTTGTGTTCAAACCAAACTGACAAGTATAATGCCAAAGGTACCAATTTCTATAAACCTTTGGAAAGCCAATAGGAAATGAGAGTATTGAGATCCCCTGGAACCACCCAAAGCTTTCCAAAATGCTGTAGAAAATGTGTCCACATTCCTCTTGACCATATAAACAACACTGTTTAAACAGCACCATTCCTTTGGATAGAAAATGATTGAAAGTAAATAATTTGTCCAAAAAAAGCAGTCCAAAGGAAGGAAGGAATCCTCAAGGGGCCCTTGGTTTCATGGAATTAGTATGTGGCATCAACACCTCTCAGTTTCAATCAATTGCTTGAAGAAAGGACTGACTGAAAACAAACCAGATTTTTCAACATTCCACCATATCTGATCTTCAGAACTTGGGTGAAGGTGAATCAGAATTTGACTAATTTCCTGGAGCAAAGATACTAATTCTTGAGTCTCGCAATCCTGGGTATTCCTCTTTAATCTCAAGGAACATACAATTTGACCAGAAACAATGTCATAGCATTCTTTGGTCAAGGTATCTATGTTTTGTGTCACATTGTAGATGTAAGGATGAGATTGACACAAGGGTCTCTACCCATAGTGGATATCTTTCCAGAATTGCATGTGTTCACCATTTCCTGGCTTGAAAACAATAAGTTGAGAGTACTCCTCTTTGATTTTCATGATTTCTTTTTTTATGCTCAACCTACAGGATTCTTGAGGCATTGTGGCTTCCCAATCAAGAGTGTTGCTTGCATACTGTGGATCAGATGCCTCCAAAATTACTCCTGATTGGTATTACATCCAGAGCCACTTCCCTGGCCGCTCCTTGTTCATAACATTTTTAGGGTAGAATGCCAATGCCTACTATGCAACCTAGTTGTTTCGTTTTGTATCCGTCGTCGATACCAATTAGTGTGGCAATGTTCAATTTATAAATGTATACATCACAGTTTATGACAGAGGATCAGCCTTTAATTCGAGCATGCTGCTAGTAGACAGTTTATAACAAAGGATCAGCTTTCATTCAAGCATGTTGCTAGTAGACAGAGTCCTCCAGCTAACCCTGCATACTGGCCTAGAAACAACCTGGTATAACACCAGGAGAATAGTGCCATGAAGCATGCTCCACCATTCCTGCAATCCTGTCCTATAGCAGACCAAGGCCACTGATTTGGGTGCCTGTCTAGAGGAAGCTAATGGTAAGACAACATAAATATTGCCAACATCCCTTCTATTTTCATTCCCACTATTAGTAAACCTTCAAAGAACAAGTACTGTATGCAGGCTTTTTGGAATAAGGCATGGATGATGGTGCAGGCTTTTTTTTGGTGGGGGTGTATTTAAACATGTATAATTGAAAAATCGGCAAAATTGGGCAAAATTTTCAATTGTATGTTCAACATGTGAACAACAAGAATTGGAACATATGAGCTAAAAAATTATCTATTTATTTTTTAATACATGCATCATAGTAAATATAAATACACATATATATGCATATATTCAATACATCATACACATATACATATATAAAAGCAAAAATTTCATCAAAACACATTAAACACAGACATCAATCTGGATGATCTTTGGTCATAATGCATTTATTTGGCCAAACCTCCTACTGGGATTTGTATTCAAAGAACCCAAACTATGCAGATACTTTTTGAGAGAAAGATTAACTTGTTATAGATAGAAAGAAAAAGAGTACCTGAGATGATGTACAATGGAAACAGGCTACACACAAGTTACCCCTGTGTACACCAGATTTAGCAAAACTATCTGTTACAGAGTTCAACTCCCTAGGAATCCAGCTCATGTTTGCAGTCAAGGATTTCAACAGATCTCAAGCCTCATCCAAATAGTGAGCCAATCTCCAAGGCCGGTCTTCCTTCTCCCCAAGCCACTTTATCGTGTTTCTGGAGTCACCTTTGACTACTAGATCGATGAAGCCTAGATTCCTTGTGATACGGAGACCTGTTAAAAAGTTAAAACAGCTAAAATTTCAGCCTTTGTGGGGTCTGCAGTCCCAATTGTTCCACCAAAAGCCCACATAGGGCTTCCACCCCTCCTAAACACTCTGCCAATTCCTGCTCTTACTGGGTTTCCGATTGCACTTCCATTAAAGTACAGAGTCACCTCCTCCTCTCTTGGTTGGGGGAGACTTTTGACTCTTGAAGGATTGGGTGAAGAAAATAACAATTCCACCATGTTCTGCTGAAGCATATTCATAGTAATTCCTTTGAAACTCTCTTAATTTGGCATCCACAGATTGCACAAGTATATTATATGAGAAATCGGGTCTCCAAAGGTTATAGCTTTGTTGTCAAAAATGCGACTATTTTGTTCTTCCCAAACACCCCACATTACTGCTTGAGCCACTGTGTGCTAGTAGATTCCACCCCCCCCCCCCTTACCTAAACCTCTTCCTTGCCATTGTCTTAAAAAATCTTCAATATGTTCCAGAAAAACCCAGCTGTAACCAACAAGGTCAATAAAATGAAGCCAGATCTTCCTTGTTTCTGAACAATGTAAAAGAATGTTCATCTGATTCACCACTACTGAGACAAAGGGTGCAGACATGGGGAGAGATTCACAACCTTCCTTTGTGCTTCTTCTGTAATAAATCACAAGTGTTTATTCTTTTCAAGCAAGCCTCCAACACAAAAAAAAAAAAGAAACTCTAGGGGGATTTGAGAAATCCAAACTCTACAAGGGAACCCTGAGATTGTATCACCCACCACTAAGTCCCTGAAAAAAGATTTAGTTGAGAACTTACTGGCAGGGTGAAGCTTCCAGATTCGTTGGTCTTGGTTTGAGGGGGAAACATAGACCTATCTTAAGGCATGTAATAGATCTGCAAGTTCATCAATCTCTACATCCCTTAAGGGTTTTCTTAAGTTTAGGCTCCAGCTTGATACAGGGGGTGAATCTGATATGCAAGAGAATAAGGCAGCTTTTTGGTTTTGGGACAGGTTAAATAAGTAGGGGTAATTGTTAGCCAAAGTGTTTTCTCCCCACCAAAGGTTAGTCCAGACTTTGATTCTACTAGTAATATATCTTTCCGTTTAACATACCTAATGATGATACCATCTATGTGTTGTTGGCTACACAACTCCTATTCCCCTACTCGTTAACAGGGCTCTGCATTAGTGCTATAGAAAAGAAGGGTTACAATTTGAAGCTTCTGAAATCAATCATCTCTAGCATACCTAGGAGAGTGAGTATTAATTGATGGACTGTCTATGGAACAAAAGGAAGGGTTACTTCCAAATTCCCTGGTTTGACGGAAGATATGGCCTCAAATAGAGTTGTGCTATAGAAAAAGGATTCATGTAGTTAACCCAAAATAATTGGGATTATAGTAAATACAGTACAGGAAGCATTTTTATACAATTGGGAACCAAGAACAATTAATACAACAAAAAAATTCTGACCCAACTAATATTCACACCCTAACAAAATCACATCCCTAATACATAACACCAAATTCAGGCATCTAGAGTTCTTAACCAAGACTGAAACTCATAAAAACTCCACAAATATACTTTTGTTGTTCAAATGCCTTTCAAATTCTCAAACTCTGTTTCTTTCATCCAATTCCAGAAACACCTTTCTAACAAATTTTTCAACCCCTAGAAGGATTTAACCCAAACTTTTACCTATTTGAACTTCTTTATCATTCAACACACTAATGCCCATATTTTTATCAATCTGAAACAATTTCATTAATTAAAATATCACCTTCAGTATGTTGCTGCTCCACTAGTCCCTTCAACTCTACACCTTTGATATCTTCAGCCTCCTTATGGTCTTTTGAGTTCTCACTAACTGGCTGAGTTCTATATATTTTGATTTTGGAGGTGCTATCCACTTCTGAATTCTACAGAAGCTGACACCAATTCATTCTTCCTAAGCTGGTCATGAGCATTGTCCTTTTCTACGGAACAAATCTCTAAAACCCTTTACACAGATGGATGCCCAAAATGTAATCTATCCATCAATGACCCATCACAACAGAGTTCTACTTTATCTTTACATGAATGTCTGTTTGGCAAGGCAGGAAGAATAAGCTCTTCTCTTATAGATCTCTTTGAACTTTTTACAAGGACCACACCCACACAGGACATTTTTCAAATGTGAATATGTTGGTAAACGTGGCACAAGGGCAATGATGGTAACAATTGACTATGATTGTGAATATTCTTCATCTGAGAAAATCATTTGACAGAGCTTAATTTCCAAAAGGAACAGTTAAAATACATCCCAAAAATTAGAAGGGAAATTGCCAAAGTTGCATTAATAGAAATGGTTGAAGTCTGGATGCAGATCTTTAGAAATATCAGAATAAGAGAGAGCATGTTGATCTAGGACAAAACAAAGAAGTAATCATACTAGTACTAGATGGAAGTTCTTTCATCTTTTTGTTAATATCATTACAAAGATCCCCCAAAGGTTCTAGTCTGGTATGTAAATTGCATAAGTGCATGCATATGTTACACTTGAAGGGAAGTGACAATTCTTGCATGCTACATAAAGATCCTTTTACCAACTTAAGTTCACTACTTATTTGCCAATAACCACTTAAGGACAAGGCAACTCATTCCCTTTGTGTTATTCATTATAATGGCAGCTATTTTCACATACAAGTCAAGTAAAATTAGTTATCACTACTAGCCACCAAGGACAAACCATTCATGCCCCTTTTGTTATTTGATCATCATATCATATATTTTCACATGCTTTGGAATTATTTATCATTCATGTTTGACCTATTTGCCCTTAAAAAATTAATTTGTTGATAACAAGACATGAGATAAGGTTCATGACTCAATGTTGCCCCTGCCCATCTAACAGGTGGAGTGGTGGACTAGATACAGACCAAACGTTTGGCATTTTTTGCACAATGTAAGTGACCACTCTCAGACTTGAACTTGAATTCTCACGCTTGTCAGCATGAGGTGTTACCATTGCATCAATCAATGGCCCCTAATTTTCTGATAACATGAGATAATCCATTCTAATTCATGGCAGTGCAGATTATAAATCTTGATATAAGTTGGAGAGAGCATACAGTTTCAAAATTAATGGGATCCATCTCCTTGAGCTTTTGTAAATGGCCTTTAGTATCTGGATCAAAGACACTCCCAATGAAGCTATACACTTCAGCAAAGTCTGGTATACCTGCAAAATGTAAGCAAAATAGGAGACAGTAAAAAAGAAAATACCAGCAACACCAATAGGAGAGAAACTGGAAACTTAATGTCTCTGACTCTCTATGATATAGGTATGACGAACAGATAGGAAGAGAAGAAAATGTCACACAAGTGAACAAGAACATAGTACATTATCTTTGACTACTTAATGATTTTAAGATCTTCTTTTAGTTATTTCTGATGAATACATCTTGAAGGCCAAGGATAGCATAGAGACATTGAATAATTGATTTGAAGTTTGCAATTCATGTCACAATTCAGAGCAACCACAACTGACTAATCCTTTATAGCTCTTATACATAATGCAAATTGTATGAATTATCACAAGTAGAAATTAGGAAAAAGTACAGAGCCCAAGGATTGGGGCAGGGGCACCAGATGCAGCTCCAGCCCATTTAGGGGATATTCAATAGGTGGTTGTTTTGTGTACCATCTAGTTTTGGAACACAAACAAAAATTTAGCACTCTCTGACATGGGTTATTTTGAACACTAGGAATTCAAGTATTCACTACCAGGAAAGACTTTTGCTGATGTAAGCATGACATCATAGGTAATCTGGTTTGTATCTCAAACACTGGATGATTGTGTATCTCCCCTACTCTATAGTATTAACAAGTGTATTTTTTGCACATATTATATAATAAAGCACACATGGCAAGTTACTTCGCCCCCAACCAAACTCATGCAAGTATCTCTGTTTGATTAAAACCATCCATGATGATTGAGATTTATATCCACATATAACTTACACACAATCATTATAAATATGGTTTTTAAAGAAGTGGAACCTTGTATAGAAACCCTTATTTGGGTTGCATGGTTTAAAACGTCAGTTTTCACTTTGAGAACAGTGGAGCCCAACTTTTTTCAGGCATAGCACAGGTTTTCAACCACCACCCCAGCACCTTCTTAGTTGGGATTTTATTGTACAAAATATACACAAGTGAGAACCCTGTCCCATCAGAAAAGGTCCCCAAAAAGATCGCTTCTTAATGCTCCTACCCTATAAAATGAAGCAATTGTGTAGTTAGTAAATCTACAATCTCAAATTATAAGGAGTTCAGCCTGGAGTTCAAAGGCCTCACTTCTGTAATTCTCCAAGGGACTTAGATCTATTCCTCAATCAATTTATTATAGTTTGTGAATCCTTTCTCCATGACAATGGTGAGTCCTTGAGCTTCATAAACCTTAGACCCACTAATCCTTTTATTTAAAACTTTTACCTATGCCCATATCCACCAGTTGGAAAACTGAGACAAAAACATTGAATTTTTGAAAAATAAATATTCCCCAAGGACTTTCTTTATCAATAAATAATCGGACTATGTTTACTAAGAAAAGTAGTAACTAGTAAGTGCCTAGGCTAAGCCGCATGGCTCATCCATAGTCATAACACATATAATAGCCCCACAACTTACTCTGGAAAGGGCAGTGCCCCTAATATAAAAAAACCTTTTTTGGTAATCAATACAAAAAATACCAACTCACCCATTTCTATTGAGAAAATCTGCTAGCTCATTTTCTGATCTTCTAATGCATCTGAATCAGGTGTTCATCCTGGTGGCATGAAAAATGATATTGAGATATTGAAGGATGGGTCCAGTGCATTTTTCTTATTCTCCTTATTCCATGAAAACTAATATATTTTCAACATGATACTATATGATATACTTGATAATACAAGAATTCTCAGTACTTCATCCTGAATAACCTACCTAAAGTTTAAATATAGTCCCTATGCAATTGCAATCCATAACGATGCAATCACAGAGGGAATTCAGCTGAGATTTATGGAAGCTCTTAGTCAACTCAGTGCTCTGTCAGATAGGCACCTAACGACCTTAGAGATCTGGGGCTTTGCTTTGGATACAGAAAAACATAACTGGTATCCATCCTGATAGATGAAAATTCATCCAATGCCACCAATGGTCAAGGACTACCGGAAAATGCCATCAAAGCTATCTTGCATGCTAAATGATATTAGATAGCTTTTATGTTACTGCATATTGTTGTGTGATGGATCTCTGAGGAGTTGAATGCAGAGAGTAACTCAGCAAGAACATTGTTAATTGGGAAAGAATGTCTAGGGTGTTCTCTTTGTCATAGAAAGCTTGTATACTAAGCTGCTTGCACAATTTTCTTATGGACTATTTTGGGTAGGGATCTATCTTGTGTAACAATTACATGCTTTCTCCACACATCTAATATAAATCTTTTTCACTGTTACCATTCAAAGATATTTGATCTTCAATGAATTGTGAGAAAGGAAGAGAAATTTACAGTCATTAAGAGTTGTACCATGAAGAAGAGAACCCCGCTTTCCCTGTATATCACAACTTGGCAGTGCTCTACTTGAGCTTCCAATGCCACTGAAGTTGCTATTACCTGTCCTTGCCACCCCCTTTGATCCAACATCAGCTGAATCAGTGAGGTTGTAAGCCAAAATAAGCACTGGAAAGATCCTTTTATTTTATAGTTATTTTGTAACTGACATCTACATTCTCAAAACACTAAGGTGTAATGTTTCCTTATAAGTCATAAGAATAACTACATGCCTTCAATTGCATGAAGATTGGTATAGTCATCTTGGGAGGGAGCAGTTCTATTTGATGGAGTACTTGTAAGCACAGATTTGTCATCCCATGGGGAATACCCAGGTGCAACACAATTCAAAGTAGAAGGATAAGCCATGGAGGCCTGCAGTGGCAGTAAAGCTGAAAATTGAACCAAAAGTTTCAAGAGCAGAAGTTAATAGATGAGTGTTTTTATTTCAAATTTCTCCAGAAAAATATCTTGATGTTAATGGGGAAAACAAACCATTTTTAGATGCCTTCTGTGGATAAGGGTAAGCAGCTTTGCGTTTGGGGCGAGGAGGGGGTACATGTGCCACTGTACCATTTTTTTGGACCTTCAGAAAGTACTTCTGGGCATGACTTCTTATCTGCAAATGGAAAGAAGAGGATCACATGGGAGCACTTTTGAAAAAAAAAAATTAAAAGCTAAGCATGAGAAGAATAAGATATGTAAATTTTATAGACAAATCATTTACAATGAATTTTTTTAAGCAGTGTTGGCAAAGAACATTTGGACCCAGACCTTGATTTGACAAATGAAAGCTAGGGCATGAAGCTCCAATATAAATATTTGAAGCATTTGGGAAACAAATTGCTCTAGAAGAATGAATAATATGCTAAAGACTAAATCACGGTTCTTCATTAATTCAGTATTAAATGAAATAGATTGGCAATGACATAATCAACAAGAAATACATACAATGATAAGATATGCATTACATAAACATTTTGATAGAATGTTTGGCACAATAAAGATGCTGGCTTAGATCTGGGTTAATGTGACAACGATCTAAGCTTCAAGAATCATTGGTGTCATATAAAAAACAGTATGTTATTATGTTGTCAAGACAAACTTGATGACCTAGAAAATATTTACAAGTATCCATGCACAGCTACCAATTTGTACCCATGTCTATTGCCATTGGCAATAAATTCTATAGTTTCATGGCCCAAGTGACCAAACCGTAAACAGGCAAAAAAGATTGTATTTCCATGACTCAAAGAAAGATAGAAAACCAGTTTACTAGTAATTTTCACGAGACAGGAAAACTATGACAGAACAAGTACCTGAATTACAGTTTTTGAACCAACAAAGTCTTCAATTTTCTTCCAATCACGATCAAATCTGTATTAGCCACAAAATAGAACATACGAATCAGATGTCGACATGCATAGGAGTTCTGATAAAGAGAACCACTGCCCAAAGGAAATTTTGGCTCCAAGTTAATGGTACGAGTGGCTGAAAGGCTCACAAGGCAGCACCTAATAGAACAAACACTATCTCATTGTGACAAGTTAAATGGATTGATGCACAAACGATTGGCCGAGTTGAAGCTAGTCAAGTAAATTGAGTTTGCACCGGTTAGCAAATACTATCAGAATTCGTCAAAGGATGCACGTTTCTCCAACTATATCTGAACATAGTTCACTGACATGGGACTAGAGATCCCTATGTACACCAAACTCAAAAACCATTCATTCGGTAATCTAACTATCTAAGCTCCAAAGCTAACTGAAACCGTCAAAACAAGGCAAGGCAACAGTTGAGTTTATTTATTTCATCTGAAATACCAATCCATCTAAGCAAAATAATCAAGAATCAAACCAACAAACACACACACATACACAATGAAGAATCAAACACGGCTAACAAAATAAAACCGCAATCCCACAAAAAATATGTGATGCAGAGAACAATTCATGAAAATGAAAACCCCTCAGAACCAGAATTCAACTGAAATGACCATAAAAGACAAAAGTAAAGGAACTCACAGTTGCAGAGCTTCAAGGAACTTATCATGCTCTTCTTCGGTCCAGCTCTCCCTGGACTTGGTAATGGTATAAGGTTTCCGCACCTTCTTGCCTGAGGCATCTAGAGGCGTCGATGCCGCCATAGATTGAGAATTCGAAGAGGTCGAATTAACATTCATGGCCTAAACACCAACACTCAAAAAGCATTTGAACACAACCAAGCCAGACTAGTCACTAGACTATACAAGACTATATTAGAGAGGGAACATTCTTGAATTTGAGGGGTTGATTTTCTGCTTCATTCAAATTTCGAAGAGAATCGGAGACCGGAGAGACGGAGAACGGAGGACAGCCAGACAGGACAGCTCTCGGCTCTGTGTCTGTAACATGCAGTGCCTCTACGGTTAGTTTCAGCCGTTCAATTTCCTCGCCACCGGAACGTCGATTTTAATCTGCTTTTTTACGAGAGAAAAATTTCTTATATGACTCAGGCATCAGAAGATAAATAAATAAATCCATCAATCAGGCATCAGAAGATAAATAATTTGAATGGGTTGATGTATATTATATGCCTTTAAGAATAGGGTGGTAGCTCGCGAAGTTGGGGATCGAAGCTTTCTCGGCAATTCGCCGCCGATGTTTTGGCGAGTTTCTAGGAGCGGGAAATCCACTGTGGCATGGGTCCCACAGAGGATTGAGCTGTGGCACCGAAGTGAAAAGTCGAGAAGGAGACTTGGAATTCAGTTGTCCCACGGTGTCCCAGCTGCTTCTTCATTTGTGGCTGGTATGAGATTTTTCGGTTCAATTGATACCTTATTTATGGTCGGCCAATCTGAGGCCCCTAACTTTCGAGCTCTACCAACCACTGGATTCTGTACGATACTAACCGTCAGATTTAATGCGATATAGACCATCTCTAAATTGGAAAGGTGGGATCTTCTCTGGCTGTCCTACATTTGATTGTAGCCAATATAACATGTGGCCTGAAATCCTTGATGATGTTTCCAACTTTTACCGACTGTGTTTGGTTTTTACGCGGCGGCTTTTGGCTTTACAATATGGGCCCACTCGAACAGAGTTCATAAGCAATTTTTGAGAAAAGTACGGATAAACCCATTTCAGAATTCCAGTCTATACAGATGGCATTTAAATTCAACTTTTACAATCTGAACACGATTCCCACGCCAACTCGGATTCCCCTTATTTTTTGTAATTTCAAAGTTTTTAATTAACTGTGAAGATTAAAACAACTCTGATGGGGCTCACTGTTTAGATCTCTCTCCCACTCTCAACTCCCCTATCCCTGCAACCTTATTCCTTCCAAACCCAAAACTCCTCTTTCGCTTTCGTTTCTACCGTTTCTTTCTCTCACCTGCTTCAACGGGAGGACACAAAGATGTTTGTCTCATTACCCTTTTTTGGTGGACATGCAACCATTATAGATAAATGAAGAAACGATTCAAATATAATATTATACGTGTATCTAACCGTTTTGATCCTTGGGCTCAATCCCAAATGTGTTAGGATTTAACCATGGTTGGAATGGTTTCGGAGCATTGGGTTGGAGTTGGGTTAAACTTGGGTTAGTAGATGTCTTTAAAAGGGAGTGCTCACTACTCTATTTTCGCACCCTTCCCGTCTGCTTTATTCGAAGCCTGCCCTCTACTGAAATTGGATGGTGGACACCTCTATTTCCCCTTCCGTTTTTCATTTGTTTTAGGGTTTCATTTTGTTCTTCTTTCTTGTTTCCAGCTTCCAGTTTCTGCCTTTCTGGTGAGCTCCCTCCCTGTTGATCCTATTCCTATGCTTTCGTTTCTGTTTGATGAGCTCTGTGAATCACCCCCCTCCTGTATCTTTAGGGGCATAATCATCTGTCTCAATTTCAACATGTTGCACTGTAAAGCCACTGGATTTGTTCCTCTGGTTTTTGGTGGTTTTATTGTTTTAAATTTTATTTGCCTTGAACTTAAAGAAGAATTCTACATGAACTCAAAAACCTCCGACAGAAATAACAATGCCATCGATCGAGAACATTTTCACAGAGAAATTAATATGAGTATACTATCTAGATCCTTGTATATGGCCCAAAAACCTTTAAAACTTCAACGCTCATATGCGAGAAGTCCATACACAACTATTTTATAATGTCTGATAAGTACTGGATAGTGTTGTGTTGCATATGAAACAAAAAAATTACATGAAAAACTTATCTCTAAATTATATTAGCTTTTAAAAAATCTGAATTTTCTGAGATTTTTTAAGTCATTTGTCTAGATTTTTTTTCTATACTTTTGTGATGCTCTATTTGAATCTTCCTATCTATATATTCTTTGAGGATTGATGAGGGCAGATTTGGCCCTCCAGTGAAATTGCGACACGTGGCACCTCGTGACAACTAGGCAAGCACCCAGGCAATAACTTACCAAGTTGGTCTCCCCCCCGGGCACCGGT